TAATACCAGATCAACAGATAAACTCTTACTTAAGATGCCGATTTTTCATACAGAGATAGGTCGTTCTGCTTTTTCTAATTATGCTCCGTATGTATGGAATGAGCTTCAAGGTACATTACATATGGAATCTGTACCATCTATCGCTATGTTTAAAAATATTTTAAAGTCTGTTTATATAGAACAGTGTACATGTTTTAATAACTGACTAGGATTTGTATTGTTTTTAGAAAATTGTGTTTTATGTTTGTTCATTGTGTGGTGATGTGTATTTCTTTGGAAATTTGTCCTTTGCTGCCTATCTTAACCAGGACTCCCTGGTAGAAGAGATATTGTATCTCAATGGGACCTTCCTGGTTAAATAAGTAAATAAATAAATATATTTATATAAAATTTATATAAATTCAGTCTCTGCTTTTCATGAATAATATAATATAATATAATATAATATAATATAATATAATATAATATAATGTATTAAATTGTAATTATATTTCATAATATTATTATTATTAAATAAATGCAGCCTTGGTGAGCAGAAGACTTCTTTCAAAAACATTAAAACATTTTACTGACCCCAAACTTTTAAACAAGTAAGTAAATAAATAAATAAATATCTGAGTATTTTTCTTTATCTTAAGTTTTCATGACCGCCACCATTTAATTAAACGCTTTGGAGTCAAAGCATAATTATGCCTTTAGTAAGCAGATACTTTCATCCTTTCTTCAGCACACAAAACTCAAAATGTGTTTCTGATTCAGAATAACACAAAATGATGTAGCACATCACATGTCCCTGATTAACGTATAGCGCTGACCGCTTCCGTGAGACTTCCTTGGCTCAACCAGGCTACCAAATAGGGTGAAATGCGATGGTCCAGAAGCTTCGGGAAAAATATACTCTTTATTGGGAGGGGTGGGCTGGTGTTCGAAAGCCTTGGTATAAATGGCATCTAGTCTAGCCATTCTTAAGAAGGAAATCGGAGACACACATTCTCGGAATTCCAGCCTACTGTATGTCTGGCTGAAAAATGTGCCCCTTCCCAGCGCAGAGAGTTTCTAATACCTCCAAATGGAATTCAACACCCTTTGAGTCTAGGCTTGCAAACTTAGCTTTGTATTCATGTAGAGGATGTGTTTTTCCAGCAGACTATCCCAGTATGACAGATGTCCTGCGCTGGGGTCTCAAGATGAAAAACAATTATGGTATCATTTGGATTAGGAGGTGTTTTCTACACTTAGTCTGCAGCTATTTAGTCTTGTACTGAAGCTTAGCAGGAAGGAAAGCAGTTTTCCTCTTTCCTCTCTCTACTGTCCCGCAAGATGAAGCATAATTGCAGTGTAATCCTGACCCTAGTCCGAAGGCTTTAGAAAAAAGCAGCAGAATAGATAATACCAGCTGTTTGCTGTTGCACAGATGTTGGAGAGAGCACCTCTAAACCTACTGTGTTGCACTTTCAGTTTGTTCACCAGCGTGCGAGGAGGAGCATACATGTTCCCAGATGGACAAAGATATGTCTCTGCTGAATAGTGGAAAAATAGTAGCTATTATATATTTCAATTTATATGATGCTGAAGGAAAAACATATTTGAGCACATTTATTTGTTATTTGTCTTTACTCTTTATCA